TGCCTCCAAGAGGCAAAAATGTGTTATACAATAAGTGAGAAACATATCCTTAAAAGTGTAGCATTATGGCAAGCAACACTGGAGAATTCGAAAATTGTTTTTCAACGTTCTGTTGTAAATATCCAACACTGCGGTAAAAAAAACACCTCACCAAACCTTTTCTAACGAGGAATAAGTTGAAAAGTTGAACAATCTCCCGATCAGCATAAACGAACTTTAACAGATTTAAAGTACCTCTTCGAAAGCTTTTCGACGCAAAAACCTCGTTATTTTAAAGAATTCTAATTTCCCTTTGTGACCTCACCCAACACTTCACACTACCAAAAAATGGACTCGAATCCATCCAACCAAAGAGGCATTTATACATCCACTCCAGCTTTATTCAAACGAATTACAACCGTTTAATTCACCGGTTCAACTCTCATCGCTGTTCGCCTTTCACTTGCAAGCCGTTTGCATAAACGTAAAAAATGCACAAGAAGCAAATTAAACCAACTTGAGGATTATTCCAGCACTGTGAGTGAAAAATTATTGAAAGAAAAAATGCATAATGTTCATCACCCAGCAACTTTGAATAAATTTTTTGCACAGTCTGAAAACAACAAATTTATTAACCACAAATTTAACAAACAATAAAACCAAGTTTCTTTCACCACTCAGTTCGTAACAAAATTAAAATGAAAAAAAAAAAAAAACAAGCAGGAAAATTGTATAACAAGTCAACAGCAATATCACAGTACCAATAACTTATGAAATAAATATATCAGAAAATGACCTATACGAAATCAAAAATACAAAAGTTATAAAGAAGCTTAATTCAAACAGAATTGCGTTTACAAATGATAATTCATTAAAAGAACATTAAAGCATATCACTACCAGTTCTTTGACATACCCCTTCCTTCCAAACTCAAAAGTAAGATTTTCAGCTTACTAATAATTAAAAAAAAATGACGATGCCTGAACGAAACATTAGCTAATAAATGAAAAATTACGACACACATCCAATACAACGCCTACGACGTTACGACATTTTAAGCCTACGACGTTTTAAAAGCCACCAGATGGAAACGAATTATAGCGGAAACAGACGTAGTACTACCCTGCCGATTCGCAAAAACCTCGTATTTATCAACTGAAGTTTATAATATGACATAACTATAATCCGCCTAATCGAGGCAGTAACAAAAGCAGGAAACAGTATATCTCAAGGAGCGAGAACTCAACTAAAGAAACGCGATTAAAACAAGCGCATAAAACAAAAAAATATTCCTGACCTCAATTAATTCTGCATAATAAAACTAAAAATCGCTTTTAGAAGCACGAAAACAATCTTAAAAACATCAGTGTCTTAAAAATTAAACCTGTTGACCATACTACAAAAAGCAATAAAATTTAAACAAAAATTTAAACAAAGATTAGATAAGTTAAGAAGTAAATTTGGTGAAAAAATTCAGCAATAAAAATTCAGACACACCAAAACTTCCATGTAGAGCAGCACAGTTTTCTCAAAAATAAAGAAAATAATGAAATAGAAATAAATAAAAAATAAAGATAAACAAATAAGTATGCAAACAAATGCATAAATAAACAAATAAATAAAGAAACCAACAGGAAGGAACATCAGATCCATATACAAGCATGAACTTTTAAATTTCTAATTATCTTTCGAGCAGTAATTTAGTAGAGAGGAACCTCACTAGTAGTAATGGCTTTCATTGTAAAAAAACAAGAGAAGTGAATCTGATATATGAAAGAGCCCAGTTCCTGTAACCTCACATTCAATCCGCATCATTGCTACCTGAAGTGAACTAAGTATAAATTAATGAGAGATGTAATATAAAATTTATTACTGCAATGAAAAAATTTTAAATTTAAGACAAAATTGTCATTTAAAAAAAAAGTAATTTCAGCCTTAACTGGAACTAAAGCCTACAACTCACCTGGTTAGGAAGTGTGCCATTATATGAAAATGCTGGTAGAATTAAGGAAATTCGAGGACGGTCTGTACTGTTACGATTTACTGCCGGAAGTAAGTAGTAGTCCTGAAAAAAAGAACAAAAAATATAGAGTGTCGATGAGTAATACGTCCAGCCCACCAACCAACAGGGTTCTGTGTGCTGACCTAAAAACTTTGAAGCTAAAAAATGAAACAATAAAATTTGACAAAACTGTGCATAAATAGCTCTAAAGATAAACATCTTTAAAAAAAATACTATTACCTGCATTGCAACAACGTATAAAGTATCCTCTTTCTGTTTTATCGCTCTTGCCAATTCGGAGTACCGAGTCTCTGCATTTAATGAACGACGCTTCTCAAGCTCAGCACTCCTCAGTGACAGCTGACGACGTGTATCAGCGAATAAATCCACCTGCATTTTTTCCAGCCTTAAATATACGTATAAGTAGTTTAGAAAAAGAACAAAAAAAAAACTTAAGATCACATTATGAGACCCAATTCAAGTTCTAGTTGGTAAACTTTACAGTTAGCAAGGAACAAAAACAATTGCAAGGAAAGTATACAACTATATAAAATACCCAATTCCTAAAAATTACCTCGCGCTATGAGGCTCTGCGGTTGCTTTTCCTGTAGAACTTATAAGGTCAAGGTGCCTCCAAGCTCGTTCACGTGTCGCTTTCAATTTGGCTTCCTCTTTTTTGACAGCACTGTTTCTACAAACTTGAAGTTTTGTTACAATTGAAACGAAGTTGAAAGAGATATCAAAGATACATATTCTTCAAAACCTGCGAAAATCCTGAATCCTTTGCAGTTTTTTTGCTTTAGCTTTTGAAGACATCTTTTGCCGAAGAGAACTGTTTGAGACATGAGTTAACTTTGGCATAGGAGCACGAAAAACCTGACGCATCTGTAGAAATATTAATCTTTCGTGACGATCCACCCAGCTGCTCAGGTCATTATTGACCCTAAATGAGTACAAAATGGCAGAAAGAAGGAAAAAAGCTGTCAATTTTGAAAAGCCGGAGTTGAAATCAAACATAAGACAGTATGTTTCACAGGCTTATGATGAATAAAAGCAATATTAACCTAATCCTTTCTGTCTGATTTAAAAACGCTTTTTGGCCATCTCCACAATCACTGATATTACTAGCATTACGAGCAAGCAATCGGATATCATCTTCTTCTGATTCTGAACGTCCTTCGACTCCTACATCAGACATTGCTCTTCTTTCAACGAGCCGATTGCCACTGCCCTACAGTGGAACTGTTAGTAGAGTTAAACTGAATGGTGAAGACGTGCGTAAAGTCAAAATTCAATGATCAGTGTTCTAACCGTGCTATCGTAACTAACTGAAAGAAGGGAACGCCCACGAAACACGCCAGTTAATCCCGGAGCCTCGCTATTTTGTGAAATAATTTCTGACACTTTCAAAGAGGAATCAAGACTTCTAAAATATGAAATGCAGTAAGATAAAGCTTTATAACAGAAAGTAAACTCACGTGAAAGGTTTCCGGTTGATGTTCGCAAATATACAGAAGACCATAAGACATGCAACCCCTGTGACAACGCTAGTCCGGCCTCGAACTCCGACAAAATTTTTTTGCAGAAGCGCATTCTAAAAAAGTTTAATAGTCTTGATTTTAATAAAATTATAATAATAGCCAATACTAAAAAAAGTATATAATTAAACCACGAGATCAATACGGCAAGTAAATCAAAATTCCGGTACCTCATTCTGCAGATAAACAATCTGCTTCTTCAGTTCCTCATTTTCAAGCCGCAATTTTTGAACATTTTTTTCACTTTCACTGAGCTTGTGTTTCAGTTCGTCCAACTCCTTGAAAACCCAAAAAAGCTTGCTTGCATAGCAAAAGTAACAATAAATAAAAAAAAATAGGCCAAGTACATACATGTCGTTTACGCAGTCTTGACTGTTGCGCTGAAGCTCGATTTTTGATTTTCCTTTCTTCTCGTTTTCTCGCATATTCCTGTACTTGGATTATGATAAAACTGTGACAAAAAAGGCTTGTAGATGCAATAAAATAATGAAAAACAGAAGTTCCTTAAACCTGAGCATCTTTCGAAAACGTGCAATCACCAGAGTCAGTGCTTAATCTCCTGCTGCAAGAAATTGGCACAAAAACCCTGTTTAACGAGCTGTCTGTGGTTTGGTTGACACTGGCAGCAGGAACTGAAGTGAGGAGGGTAGTGGGGGCAGCTAATGATACAGTGTTAATCTGTAACAAATCCCTTAAATCGCATTTCACAGCAAAGAAGCTCAAAGTTTCAGAAGATGCACACCGAAAAAAAAAAATATTACGCTATGTAATGAAAATTTTTGCCCACTATATGAACCAATAAAGTAGAATTCTGTAAAGCAAATAGAAACCCCCAAACAATAAATAAAACTTGCAAAAACAGACGAAAAAACGAACCAGAGGTTTTGCAGTAAGAGGCACCGTATTAAACGATTCTGAATCTGGTTTTGGGATGAGCAATTGGGGACGGGTAACTGTATATGGTTGCATTCTGTTTGACGGCACCGCAAAACTGTTTGTCTTCTTAGAAGTATATTGCTTATCGATTAGGGTATGAACTGGGAAGCCAGACACTGGTTTAATGCACAATTTCTGCTACAAAAATCCCCAATACAATACGAAAAAAACTTTCAAATTGCGCTTTTCATTCTAAGATCAACAAAAAAAAGTAAACAACTTAAACTTATTGCATTAATCGCCTTAAAGATAAAAGATTAATAAATCTTGTTATTTGGTAACAAACCTGAGTAACAAAAGAGTTTGAGGTAGAGGCTGGCAGAAGGTAAACAACCGGGGCCTGAGTAGTCACCTACAAATACACTCATTGAAAAAGAAATACCGTCTTCAACACCTCGCTTCTCTCCACAAAATTTGCATCTCAAATTACAAAGTTTCGCAGATTTCTGCATGAGCCACCTGTCAGATTCCGCCCTCAGGTTGGTCTTGACTTATCGTTACATAAAGAAAAGAAACGACCACATAATTTTTTTTTCTTAAGAAATTTAGCGGAAAAAATACCAAGACAAGGCAAAATAGTTATAATCCTAAATATCCAAATATATTACGCATATCGATTTCACAATTACTTTATGACTGTAAAAGCTTATAATCCTGTTCAAAAAGAATATTTGCCTGCTCAAGCACACAAAAATGCAATACTCTCAACAGATACAAATATTCAAAAGAAAACTTTTTTGAAACTCCAATCATCAATCTCTTCTTCACTGAAAGGCTATTTTTGCAGATAACGGCTAGCATTATTAACAAAAAATGAGAGTAAAATAAACTAAGCTTACATATGAGTCAATCACCTAATTTCTCATCGCCAGCGGCCTAGATCCTTTGACATTCAATAAATTTAAGTACTAAAGTGACTGAGAAACTCAGGAGTCTTGCTGTTTCCTAACAGCATTCATCCCCAGTTTGTTGGCGAAGTAAAAAACCATACTTAATTCAGCTTTAAACTTCCAGAGTCAACAGCCAATACCTATAGCGAAATAAAAACGAACTTGTATATTACTTTAAGCCCGAAAATAACCGGTTGTTGTACCACAAAAGTTGCGAAAATCGTTGTAATACAAAAGTCAAGTTATCACCATAAATTTCTTTTAAATTCCACAAAAGTCTAACTCAGGTGAAACTATAAATTAAAAAATGAAAAATTATGCATAACCCCATCTTTATTTTGACATTAACGATACAGAAGTCAAAATCAGACATCAACACCTATAGTCAACCCAACGCGCCCAAAAACTATAAAGCTTTTTCTATCGACAAAATTTCTATTAATAAATTATTAAGCTTAAAAATGTTTTCTTGTTACTTCGCAGAAGAGTTAGCAGACTGTTGTTGGCAAACTACTAATTGTGATAATCCAGCATCAAAATACTTAAAAATGTAAAAGAATAAAAATTTTTTTCCGTTTTCATTTTAATCTGCACCATACAACTCATGTTACTACCGATTAACTTAAGTTTAACGTATTTGGTGCAGCACAGCTCATGAAAGAGCCCTTGATACAAAAGTTTCACTGTTCATTCGTTGAAGGTTTACTTCACAGATTTATTTCCGTCGTAAGTGCTAACTGTATGTGATAATCCAAGCAGAAACAGTAATTCACAAAAAATTTTAAAAAACAGAAGATTTTAGAAGGTCGTTTTCACGTCAAAAATTAAAAATATCTTGAATTGAAACGCATTTTTTATCTTTACCTTAATGGCGTCAGCTCACTGAAAATGCATTTCCTGGACTAGCCTTCCCTGTTGTAGCAGTAAACCTCATGAATGTTTAAATTCTGAATGCGTGTGAGGCGCAGAATTTTAAAAATGCGAAAAAAATTTCTTCCCAAACAAAATTGACTAGCCTGAGAAGTTTGTAGTTGAGACGCATCAGCTGAACTGGAAGCCAAAAAATTATCTCGCTTTGCAGTCTCTCCCTCGGGTACTATGGTACAAGTCTCAGGCAACTTCAGTCTTTCATTCTAAAAGTTATTTTGCTACAGAAAAACATAAAAACATGGCTTTCCAAAATATTCAGTCCCACACAACATGTAATGACTCTACAGTATCGTCTCCTCGAAAGCTCCACAGTTCAAAAAAAAAGCCAAAAGGTGCTCCTGAAAATGTAAGGAATCGTGTTGGAAGTAGCAGTCAAAACTTATTGATACTTACCGCCACTCCACCCTCTTCTATGGTACACCCTGGTGTCAAATTTGAGTCTTGCCATAGTTCACCAAAATGAGCTCCCTAAATAAAAAAGTAGAATTCTACAAACCGTCATAAAAAGTGCGTGCTGGAAGTGCAAGAAGCCCTATTCAAAAGGATTAAGTGAATTACTAGTCAAAGTAAAAGATGGCAAGAGTAAAAGACAAAATGAGAAAAAGTAAAATTCGTTTCACAAACTCGGCAATAAAGCACCATAAAAAACGCAAGCGACTCTTAAGGATACCTACACTCACCAAATTAAAAACAATTATTCAAACAAAAACCTCTGAGCTGGTACTTGATGGTGAGTGGTTCCCGGAATCTGACGATACTGGAGAGCAGTGAGAAAGACAATGATCTATCAAGCCTGCGTACCTCTGGTCGTCACAAACGTTTATTTCACTTTCCTGTTCATTACTCTCAAGTCTTTCATTAAGAAAATCAACGTCAAAGTCCAAGCCTCGCATTAATACCGAAAGCTGTAAAGATGACTGATTAAAATTTCAGTTAGCTCTATCATTTTCCTTGTAAAATTACCCATATACAACTCATAAAAGTTCGCAATCTTTCGATTAGTATCATGTGGAAAGTGTCACATCCCTGGACTGTCACTGCTACTACTTTTACCACCATTATCATTCTTATCATCAGTAGAAATAATAACGATAATAATAATAATAACCGTAATGATGCCACTAATATTATCGCTAATTATCTGAGTATGAAACTAAAGTAGAAACTTTATGAATTGTTACTGTAGGCAAAGCTAAATAATCCATTTTAAAATCTACATTCAATAATTACCTGGTCATTCGTTCCTGTCAAACTTTCTTCCATGAACAGCAAATCATCGGAGAAGAGAGTCTCTTTATCACTTTTCTCATTTTCCAAAAAATCCATAGAAGATGACTCAAATCTGCCGAAATTAAGCGACAGCTGTGATCTACCTCCTCGTTTGAGCCTTATAGTCTGAAACGAAGTCTTTAAACTGCCAATGCTGTAAACACAATTTTGCAGAAAAATAGTATGAGACGATGACTCTTGAAAAAGTTTGAGACATTAAAATATTTCAACAGCCTGAGTGGTGCGAATTAAAACACTCAGCATAACAATGACATATAAGGTACGTTACTTAAGGAAATTTTTCTTCAAAGAAATGCATTTGGAGATTTCTAGACTGAATATCTGCCTTATCATTACAAAAATTGTATACGTTTGACTAAACAGATAAATCACCAACTGCAGACCAAGTGCAAATAAAAAAGCTGGAAAATTTGATAAACCAAAGAAAGTTGTATGACGACCAATTACAACAGTTAAGGCTCGCAATCCACCTGTTCTGTGTACACTCATCCCACTTGCACAGTTGTTAATTTTTACATTTTATGTAAATGAAGTTAAATATAACTCTGACTTAACCATTCAAACCAAGCCATGTGCTAAAATAAAAATGATACTGAACTTATATATTAAACCTATATGCCTAACATACTAAAGAATTACCAAATTCCAGTGCAAAAAGTTTAACCATGTTTTTTGATGCGCATTACGACAGCTGGCAAAAAACTTAACCATAAAAATTTGTGTAATAAATAATTTTTTTCAAAAGTTACTTTTTCCTTTCAAAATTTTTAGAACAACGATATATATTTTTGTAAAACAAAAATAACTTTACTGATGGAGAAAAATAATCATTTTATACTTTTAACTACTATAAGACGGAAGAGTATTTAATGATAAACAAAATAAAACATCTAAAAAAAGTTCAAAGAAATAAATACAATGCTATACTTGGATAGTATTGAGAAAAAAAACTAAAGCAGAAAAAAGAAAAAGCTAAGACAAATTTACGCTTGAAAGCCAACACAATAATCTGTGTACCTAACAAAAGAACTAAAATGATGCACTTTGGTCTGTAGTATTTTGCTGCTGATGATGATGATGGACGTTTGAGTCTTTGATAACGCAAAGTTTTCTTCTTTTACTTCTGCTGCAGCCGCTGCTGTTTGTTACTGCCGATACACCGCTTCCGGGCAAACTGCTAAGCAGAAGAAAAAATCTGCAGTTGGCAATAGCCCATCAGTAAACCGCCTAAACTTTGTAGAGAAAAAATTTGGCATTTTACCAACAACACGACCGGTACCTTAACAGTATTCCTTACTTTTGGTTGAAAATAGTTCGGTAACAGTTCGTCGGCGAGTTTAAGACAGCCGTTGTTTTCAACAGTATCCAACAACATCCATCTCATCAAAATTCACTGTTATTCTTCCACTGTGGTGATTGGATGCAAAGAAAAAGATTGAAATATATGGGAAGGTGAGATCAAATGTTCAAGTTATTTCTTTTAGTTATGTTCTTCAAATAGTTAATTAAGGTCTTTATAGGGAACTCTAGAAACTTTTTAATGCGTTTTTCGTGCAGTACGTAACCATTTGTATTGCAACCGTTATAACAAAAGATTTTGGTCTTTTTTTTTTTTTTTTTTTTTTTTTTTTTTTT